ATATGAGAAAATATGCCCTTTGAAAGCCTGGAGGTGGTCATTGGATTTTGGACCTGTATGTGGCTAGGCTGCCAAAATGTCTCGCACATGTGGTATCCCTATACTCAGAAAAAGTAGCAGAATGTGTTTTGGGGTGTTATTCCACATATAACCATGGCATGCATAAGCAATATATCATTTAACTGACAACTTTGTGGAAATAAAATAAAATGTTGTCATTTTGCAAAAATTTGTGGCAAAAAATAAAATGTTCCATGGACTCAACGTGCCTCCCAGCAAATTCCTTGGGGCATCTACTTTCCAAAAAAGGGTAATTTGGGTTTTTTTGTACTGCTCTGGCATTTTAGTACCTCAGAAAGTAAAAGCTGCGTAAATTCCAATATATATACTATAGTTTGTAGACGCAATAACGTTTACACAAACCAATTAATAGGCATGCATTGAAATTTTTTTTTTACCAAGACATGTAGCAAATTTAAACAACCATTGGTGATCAAATACCATCAGAAGAAAGCTCTGTTGTGTGAAAAAAGGACATACATTTAGTTTGGGTACAGCATTGCATGGGCGCACAATTACCAGTTGAAATAGCGCAGTGCTGAATAGCAAAAAATGGCCTGGGCATTAAGGGGGGTAAATCTTCCTGAGGGCAAGTGGTTAAAGGTCAGCAACAGTATTTGTAGCTTCTGACCTTTTTTTTATAGGATGAAGATCCTCTTTAAACCATTTGCCGCCTGCCCTATGGCTGAATGGCGGCCGGCAAATGTCATCAGCGTTCAGGGTGGATGCCATATGGCATCCTCCCGCACATGCGCAGATCGAGCTCCTACAGAACCACGCAGCGGCGCGATCTGTCACCGGCCGTGTACCTCAGACATGGCCGATGACAGATCTGAGTATCGGCCTCTGTTGCCCGTACCATGTGACCTGCTGTGACCAATCACAGCAGGTCACATGACAGTTGTACACAATGGATGGCTTCATTTATGCAATCCATTCTCTACTAGTGTCTAGCTGTGAATGGTCACAGCTAATCACATGCACATGTCAAGTGATTAGCTGTGGCCAAATCACAGCTAAGCACAAAAAAAAAAAAAAAAATCGATGTCATTCAGGTAAATGCTTGCTTTTAGCAAAGTAATTCTTTGCTATAAGCAAATTGTGTAAAAAAAAAAAAAATACTGATTACTTTGGTCATAGTGAAATATGAAAAAAATCTAAGAAAAATAAATTAATAAAAAATAATAAAAAAAAAAAAATATATATATATATATATATATATATTTTTTTTTCATACTGTCACCAGTCAGTGTCCCTGATCACCGCCATGCCAGTTATATGATGACGCTGTACTGCACTGGTGACAATATGTAAAAAAAAAAATAGTGAAACTAATTTTTTAAATTTTTTTCATTTTCCGAAAAATTATGACAAAAAAATACAACTTCAAAAAACTCGCCATGCCTCTTATGAAGTACGTCGGACTGTCTACTTTGCAAAAAGGGGTCATTTAGGGGATATCTGTACTGTTCTGACATTCTTGGACCTCAAGAAATTAGATTGGCTGTCAGTACTTCAGGATTGATCAATATTCAGATCTATCCCATAGTTTGTGAACTCTATAACTTTCCTACAAACTAAAAAATACATCCTAATTTGGGTTATTTTCACCAAAGACATGTAGCAGAATACATCTCGGCCTAAATTTATGAAGAACAATTATTTATTTGCAAACCTTTATAACAGAAACAAAGAAAAATGTGTTTTTTTTTAAATGTTTGGTCTTTTTTTGTTAATTTAGCAAAAAAATAAAAACCCCAGCGGCAATTAAATACCACCAAAAGAAAGCTCCAGTTGTGTGAAGAAAATGATAAAATTTTAGTTTGGGTACAATGTTGTATGACCGCGCAATTGTTATTCAACGTGTGAGAGCGTTGAAACCTGAAAACTGGCCTGGGCAGGAAGGTGCAAAATTGCCCGGTATTGAATTGGTTAAGCAAAGTGCAGCATTTACTAAATAGCATTAGTAACTTAGATTGCTTTTATTCATTGCATGGAATTGTTCATATTGACTTCCTTACTTGATTTTTGCCATTTACTTATATTCTCTCCCTGCTAAAGCAGAATTTTCAAGCTGAATTTTAGGCTATAAGTCCATCTCCTGATAAGCTCTGTGCTAATAACAGATAAGGAAAATCCCATATGTATGCAAAATGTATTGTCAGGATTACATGAAAGAAAATTTTTTTCTTAACTGACAGCTTCACTACCATCTGCTCTGACAATGAGATAATATAACTAGATGACATCAGACACACCCCTAGCTGACTAGATGACACAGACTGCACTACTGTAACAATTAAAGAGTGGAAATTCAGATTCTTACCAATATCCACTCTTAACTGGTCCTTTTTAAACATGAACTTTAGGAGAGAACTAAAAAAAATTCACAGGTCATAGTATGAGCTTTAGACCATGGCCACGGTCCATTGAATAGGTTGAATAGGCCTTGTGTGAAATAGACATTCATCTAGAGCCCAATCTAAAAGAGATATGTTTGTTACTGTATATATAAAGGAAAATAGTTCTATTAGGTTTATGGGTTATCTTTGACACACATACCAGAGAGCAGGATCACAGAATCCAGGTTGCAGTAGGACCTGGAGGAGAAAATACATTATATGGGAATGTTTGACTGTACAGCTGCTGATTTTCAGCATGGTATCAAATCCTATGAAGATTTATCATCTCCATTATCCCCCTATTTATGTATTATTACTCAAACTTTCACTGGATGAGAACTGTGACATTTACTTAAACTAAGTTCCTACGTCTCAGTCTGTTTGGAGTGAGCTTTTGCAAACCACCTACATATCCTGGTGCAGCTATATGATTTAGTTTAACCTTCTAAAGTTGCCACCTAAATTACTATAGGGTCTTTATTTCTTATTCTTTTTGGTTCCTTGTGTACCATGCCTCCTACAATCACCATGCCTCAATGCAGCATACCTGAACATTACCCACTTTAGTAATGTCATTCACTTTTAGGCTATTATAGTAACCATTTAATATACTCCCCTTCATGTCCAGGCCATTTTTTGCTATATAGTGCTGCATTATCTTAAATGACAATTGCGCAGTCATGGAATGCTGAACATAAATTATATTTATGTCATTTTTTTCCCACAAGTAGAGCTTTCTTTTGGTGGTTTTTTATTTTTTGTTATAAAATAAAACATTTTTTTAAAAATTTCTGCTATAAAACATATCCTATACAAAAATGTTAAAAATCATATTTCTTCATAAACTTAGTCCAAAATGTATTCTGCTACATATTTTTGGTGAAAAAAAATCCCAGTAAGTGTATATTAATTGATTTGCGCAAAAGTTTTAGCGTTTACAAACTAAAATATATATATATATATATACTGGATTTTTTTATACTACAATGGCTGCAATCAGCGACTTATAGTAGGACTGCGATATTGCGGTGGACAGTCTGACGCTAACTGACACTTTGTGGGAACCATTGACACTAATACAGTGATCAGTGCTAAAAATATATACTATCACTGCTTAAATAACACTGTCTAGGACAGTGGTTCTCAACCTTTCTAATGCCGCGACCCCTTAATACAGTTCCTCATGTTGTGGTGACCCCCAACCATAAAATTATTTTCGTTGCTACTTCATAACTGTAATTTTGCAGTGGGAGGAGTAGTGCCACATCATTGGTGTCAGTGGAAGGAGTAGTGCCCCATCACTGATGTCAGTGGGATGAATAGTGCCCCATCGTTGGTATCAGTGGGAGGAATAGTGCCCCATCACTGGTGTCAGTGGGAGGAATAGTGCCCCATCACTGGTGTCAGTGGGAGGAATAGTGCCCCATCACTGGTGTCAGTGGGAGGAATAGTGCCCCATCACTGGTGTCAGTGGGAGGAATAGTGCCCCATCACTGGTGTCAGTGGGAGGAATAGTGCCCCATCACTGGTGTCAGTGGGAGGAATAGTGCACCATCGTTGGTATCAGTGGGAGGAATAGTGCCCCATCGTTGGTATCAGTGGAGGAATAGTGCCCCATCGTTGGTATCAGTGGGAGGAATAGTGCCCCATCGTTGGTATCAGTGGGAGGAATAGTGCCCCATCGTTGGTGTCAGTGGGAGGAATAGTGCCCCATCGTTGGTGTCAGTGGGAGGAATAGTGCCCCATCGTTGGTGTCAGTGGGAGGAATAGTGCCCCATCGTTGGTGTCAGTGGGAGGAATAGTGCCCCATCATTGGTGTCAGTGGGAGGAATAGTGCCCCATCATTGGTGTCAGTGGGAGGAATAGTGCCCCATCATTGGTGTCGGTGGGAGGAATAGTGCCCCATCATTGGTGTCGGTGGGAGGAATAGTGCCCCATCATTGGTGTCGGTGGGAGGAATAGTGCCCCATCATTGGTGTCGGTGGGGGGAGTAGTGCCCCATCATTGGTGTCGGTGGGGGGAGTAGTGCCCCATCATTGGTGTCGGGGGGGAGTAGTGCCCCATCATTGGTGTCCGTGGGGGGAGTAGTGCCCCATCATTGGTGTCAGTGGGGGGAGTAGTGCCCCATCATTGGTGTCAGTGGGGGGAGTAGTGCCCCATCATTGGTGTCAGTGGGGGGAGTAGTGCCCCATCATTGGTGTCAGTGGGGGGAGTAGTGCCCCATCATTGGTGTCAGTTGGGGGAGTAGTGCCCCATCATTGGTGTCAGTGGGGGGAGTAGTGCCCCATCATTGGTGTCAGTGGGAGGAATAGTGCCCCATCATTGATGTCAGTGTGGTGGAGGGGAGAATAGTGCCCCATCATTGGGGTCAGGGGGGGGGGAATAGTGTCCCATCGTTGGTGTCAGTGGGGGGGGAAATAGTGTCCCATCGTTGGTGTCAGTGGGGGGAGGAATAGTGCCCCATCGTTGGTGTCGGTGGGGGGAGGAATAGTGCCCCATCGTTGGTGTCAGTGGGGGGAGGAATAGTGCCCCATCATTGGTGTCAGTGGGGGGAGGAATAGTGCCCCATCGTTGGTGTCAGTGGGGGGAGGAATAGTGCCCCATCGTTGGTATTAGTGACAGCCTGGGCTCGCTCTCTCACTTACCTGTCAGCTGTCTTCCTTCTCTGGCCGCTCTCCTCTTCACTCGCTCCGGCAGCTCCCTCGATCTTCTTTGATGTGCGCGCGCTGCCGCTCGGCTCCTCCTCTCCAAGCTCCACCTCCTCGCCGGTGATTGGCCGCCTGTGTGCCTCTCCTGAGCTACAGTTCCGGTGGCCAATCAGCGGCGAGGAGGCGGAGCTGCTGAGCGATCCCGGAGGTGTGGCCAGGTGACAGGAGCAGCGTATCATCCCGCCCACACATCGCCGGAGAGGGGAGCGGTGTCTCGGTTCCTAAGACCATCGGAAATATGTGTTTTCCGATGGTCTTAGGCGACCCCTGGGAAATGGTCGTTCGACCCCCAAAGGGGTCGCGACCCCCAGGTTGAGAACCGCTGGTCTAGGAGGTAGTTAAACCTCTAATGTGATCAAAGGGTTAACTGTTTGCCTAGCCAGTGTTCTTGTGTACTGTGTGTGCTGTTTTTACCAGGCAATCTGCTAGTTTTTTTCCCCTGCTGTACAGATCGCCACTGAGAGAACACAGCTCTGCCTTCTTGACATGAACAGAACTGTGTTCTGTCAGGCGCCGGGTGTCGGCACTCATGCATTGGCCAGCACCTGTTTTTCTGCTTCTGCTGTGTCCACTCACAGCAGAAGCAGTGCTCCCGTGGTGTCCACATGCCCCCTAAAGTGAAAGTGCAAAATCATGTTTATATATGTGATTTTGCACAGAATGTACACCCTGTAGCAGGGTGTGGACTTAAACTGGCTAAGGAAATTGTATAAGCATTTATTTTGTGCATACAAGCAGTCAGATCTGCCACCCTCAACGGCCATTTTTAGCAAAAAGTTAGTCATATTGACTAATAAATTTCCTAAAAGCCTTAAAGATGTTTGTGGTGTTACAGAACCAGTGTAGTATTCAGGGCAGCTTCACTAACAAAATACTTTGTGTATTTTTTTTTTTTTGTGGAATTATCTTTTTTTTCTTCTTCAATTATCTTTGCTTACAGACAGCTGCAGCACTCTAATCTACTATTATTTTAGCATCCACACATGTTCCTCTCAGGTAGTACCTGGCTGGTTTCACTGGCAAAAAATGCAGCCACAACAAACCTGTATGTTAAGTGGGAAACCACATTAAGTTGTCTTCCTAAAAATTAGAGTTAATGCTCTCATGTATAGGTGAAGTAAGTGGGATACCAATTATCCAGTGGGCCCACAGTTCAGTTTTTCAGTGGTCACAGATAATGGTCCAAATAAGGTTTAATGATAAACTGTGAACACGGGGAGTGGGGTGTAATAGGAGAAAATAAAAATGTAAATTCATCATTGAATGAATCAGAATCTCATTCCTAAGTATAACTGGGTTCAGGGTACATTGACACTGAGTGGATACATTAGCAGCCTCTTCAACTTTGTAATTAGAAAACCAAATTATTTTTGCCCTTGGAAAAAGAGGCTTCAAAATGTTTGCTGAAGTATTCAAATGCAAAACTGCATTATGATGATTAGCTTTTATTGTTAGGATATTGAGGGCCTTGCTTAATTTAAATTCCTTAACCACTCAAGGTTTCAAGGAAGGTGCTAAAGGCCACATGTAACCAAAAACAAAAAAAAAACATTGGTTTGACATGCCTTTTTAGGGTGTAAGTTAGTACTTCTGTTTTACATTTAATCTTTTGCAGCCCCATTGACTGCATCTACAGGAGCATTTTAAAGAAACTTATACTGAGAAAAATATGATTCTCAGGCTGATAAAAAAGCTATAGCTACTGACCCTAAACAAAAATAGAGATCAAGGGTTTGACTTCATTGTCTGCATAGCTTTTTAAGGACAATGATTCAGAAATAATTTAGGACAGAGACTAGAAGAGGAGTTCTTCAATGCCAGCCATTGCTGATCTTGTCTTGAGAAAAATCAAATTATAGTTTCCTGGCTTTTGTGCAAGTTTCTTAGGTCCAATAATTGCAGACTCGACTCCCCAGAACACGCATACAGACCAGAAGCTCACACTATGCTCTAACTTTACATATCCCATATTTGATCAAGGTCAGTGACTCAGAGAGTACTGACATCAGCGCAGTAGCATGACAACCAGACAATTGGTATTTTCAGAAATCCAGCAATGGTTACCTACATATTTACACAAGTACGGGTTATATTTAACCCCTTCAAGCCTAAGGATAAAACAAATCTTAATGCCTAAGCACAATTTTGCAACGTTGATATGTGTTAGTAAAACCATGCATATCATCACAACTACTTTGTACATCCAGGTGAATTATACCTTGTTTTTTCAGGACAAATTGGGCTTTCATTTGGTGGTAAATGGTAATGGATATCTCCTGATTTTTTTTTATTATCAAAGGAAAACTGGCCCAAAATAGTGAAAAAAAAAAAAAAAATTTTAAATTTAGCTGTGTGTTTCTTGTTACTACCATAACCTACCACCAAAGAACAGCCTGAAATAAATTATCCAGCTCTTGACGATCGCAGCGATACCATATATGTGTATGTTATTTGTTGTCTGTACCCGAAGTACAGCCCAGACACAATAGTGCACATTTTGTTTTTGTCCTTTTTTTTTGTTTACCTAAAACACACTGACACCAACACTAGCCCTGGTACTGAACTAGTTCAAACCTTGATCTAAGTATTTTTTCTTTAATTTTTTAATATTTATTTATTTACTTTTTATTTATTTTTTTTTTACAACATTTTTTTTACCCTCAAAGCCAGGAGTTAGAGAGATACAATGTATCTCTCTCCTCCATTAATAGAGAGAGAAAAAAAAACAAGCGGGCCTGGCTGTACAGTGACTGATCGCTGTGATAGTCAATCAGAGGCTATCACGGCGATCATGTGACCCGAAACGGGAGTGCCGGGTCCCGATCGTTAGAAAGAGACCTGGTGCTCTCAGTGACACCGCGGTCTTTGTGCAGGTAAGCAAATATTCGGCCCCATGGAAAAAAGCCCAGTTCTCTGAGGCTGCATATTTGTGTTACATTGGTGTCAAGGGGTTAACCACCCCCTGCACCAATGCACAAACATGGCTGGGTGGGACAAGCATTGTTCTGGGAGGATGTACCGATGCATCTGTCCATTTCTGGTGCTCATACACAGCCGATGGGGGGATGATCTCTGACATGATCCCGTGGACACAGAGGATCGGTGTATTCAAGCCCCTGTGAGTGACCCTAGTACCATGTGATCACTTTGATTAGTCACAGCGATCACTTGGAATGTAGCAAACAATGAATGTCATTCATGATGCCACTGTTTACTATTGTGATCTCTATGAATGGTCACAGTGATCACATGGTACGGGGCAATCACAATCACCCTGTACAATGTGATAGCTGTGACCAATCACAGAAATCACATTAGTAATCAATGTAATCATGAATGGATTCCAAACATGTAAAAATGTTTGCTTATACAGTGATTTTCACTGTTATAAGCAATCGTAAAAAAAAAAATCCTGATCACCTCCCAGAGCAATAAAGTGTCACTATAGTAACACTGCACTGCTCTGGTGACCGTATGTAAAAAAGATGTTAAAATAATTGTACAAAAAAAAGTATTTACAAAGTATTTTTTACATACTGCCTACAGAGCAAGTGCAATGTCATGGTGACATTGTACTGCTGCGGCAGTGATCATATACAATGGCAGGCTGCTCTGATATCACTGTATGTCAGTGCTGCCAGCTATTGTCCTGGATTACTGCCACAGCATTACAATGTCACCAGATCAGTTCTGCCAGTCAGTGTTCCCAATCACTGCCATAGCAGTCAATGTCTCTAATCACTCACTCACTCACTCACTCACAGAGTCCCTAATCACTGCTGCACCACTCACAGTGCTCACCAGTTATATTGCCTCTATTCACTGCCGCACCAGTCATATTGTTCCTAACCACCATCACATAAATCTCAAGGCATTCAATGCAGTATACGGTTTTTAAAGGATTTCAAAGCTGAATAGTGTATCCAGCTACACCCCAGGGTATTAAACTTATCCCAGGAGTTTGCTTCTTGCGCCTGCATATCCCCCATCAGCATGATATCAGTAATATTATTATTATTATACAAGATTTATATAGCGCCAACAGTTTGTGCATCGCTTTACAATATAAGGGAGGAAGTACAATTACAATACATTTCAGTACAGAAGAAATAGGAGGGCCCTGCTTGTGAAGCTTGCAATCTAAAGGAAGGGGGAGGTGATACAAAAGGTGATAACTGTGGGGGATGATCTGGCGGAGGTGATTCAAGTACAGTTCTTAGGTGGAGGTGGGGTAGGCTTCCCTGAAGAAGTGAGTTTTCAAAGATCGCCTAAAGGCAGACAGGGTGGGGGCTGACCAGACATGCTGTGGTAGGGAGTTCCAGAGGATGGGAGAGGCTCTGGATAAGTCCTGGAGGAGAGCGTGGGAAGAGGTGATGAGAGAGTTAAAGAGGAGGATATCATGGGAGGAGCGGAGTGGGCGATTTGGGTGGTATCTGTGGATGAGGTTGGTGATGTAGCTAGGGGGCAGTGTTGTGGATGGCTTTGTAAGCTGTGGTTAGTATTTTGAATTTTATACGTTGGGTTAGTGGAAGCCAGTGGAGGGATTGGCAGAGAGGGGCAGCAGTCGCTGATCGGTTGGTAAGGTGTATGAGTCTAGCAGCAGCATTCAAAGACCCGACAAAGGCTATTCTGACCGACTGTATGTCCCGAAAGCAGACACGCATTGCACTTCAAGGAGAAAGGGGTTGTCAAACAGTGTGAAAACTCAGCTCAGATCTGTAGAGAGTACAAATGGACTACATCAATGGTACCATTTAGGGTGGCTTATGTTTATGGGTAACATGTGGAGAAGGTGCAGAATAAGTTGTGATGATGCCAAGGTAGAGCTTCCAGGTTCACCAAGGCCTTGTCCAGTTCCACCATTATGGAAGCTTTCCTGAAGGGCACGGAAACCAATCCAGCATGCAAGAAAGCAATGCAGAAGTGTGGTATAATTCAATATCTGGAAGCCCAATTCCACCACCGGAAAATTTAGGTTTACAGAGCATCCCGTAATTTAAATGTGACATTCTGTGATGGCAGCTAAAATTGCACACTAAGGAGCGAAGGGTGTGGAAGAA